GGAATTCAAGATCTTTTACTCTACACAAGGAAAAAGTATCACAATCCAATTATTTACATTACCGAAAATGGTAATTTTTTTTCTAGCCTTAAGTAATTGCATGATCAATGTTTCACATATTTTTGGTGTAAAACACACACAAGTGGTACGAAGTCTAAATTTGTAACTACATAATAATGTATTATATATTGTAGGTGTGGATGAGTTGAATGATCCGAAATTATCACTTGCTGAAGCCCTTAATGATACCCACAGAATTGACTACTACAATCGCCACCTTCATTATGTTCAAAATTCTATTGAGTAAGTGTATTAAAAAATTCATTTATAATATTTAAATATATATGTATATGGTATATAGCTTTAGATTTTGAGTTATTGATTCATATTATTGACATTAATATATTTAATTTCCTTTTATTTCTTTTTAGGAATGGTGTCCAAGTGAAGGGATTCTTTCCGTGGACGTTGCTAGACGACTTTGAATGGAATTCGGGATTCAGTGTTCGATTTGGTATCACCTATGTAGATTACAATAATAGGCTTAAAAGGCACCCAAAACTCTCGGCGCACTGGTTCAAAAGTTTCCTTAAGAAGTATTGAAAACTTCAGATCATATTCGTCATTCAATATTTGTATTCAATTCAATAATGTGAATTTTATGTATGTACAATAATACTAGGGATTCCAAATTTGTGTACATACAAAATTCGAATTCCAAATATGTGCACATTCAATAATTTCAATTTTAGTCCTTGTATAAGATTAAAATTCCATTCAACCCCCTTGTAAAATTAAACATTGATTTTTTAGTCCTTTGATGAGTGTCAACATACGCATAATTATGAAACTCATTTGTTTGTAATCCTTTGACTGATTGTCTCGAATTTGAGTTATTTATACTAATACCTCTTGAGGTTTTTCGTGTTTTCGCAAAACCCTCTAAGGTCTTGGAAATTACACAAACAACCCCTCAGGTTTCAAAATTGTTTCACATAACTCCAAAAATAAAATAAAAAACCTAAAATTGGATGTAATAGGACTTTTGCATAGACTAAATTATCCGTCATGAAGAACTGTTTGGATACAGTCGCACCCTAATCCCTAAACCCTAACAAAAAAAAATAAAAATAAATCATAAGATGCGTCGTACTATTCCATGAGAAAAATTGAAGACGCTTCCTCTCTTCCATATCTTTATCTCTTCCATCTTTGCTCCAACATGAAATCCTTTGTGGCTTTGAAAAGAGAATTCTCAGATCCTGCTATCTCATTGTGACAGGACCCGACCCAAATTCCACTTTGAAATCTGAGCCGAACTCTGTATGTGTTCGACACCTGACAAGTGCTGGGCACTCTTGACCCAAATGCCCTTAAAAGTTTCAAAATTCTTTTTCAAGTTTGACTTCTGCTGAAAATTCGGCAGTCTCCCCTATGAAATGCTCATTTCCCAAAAGTTTTTACCTGTACAAAACTCAATTTGAATATCCACAATCGTTCAGCAGGCATTAGACAAATAATTTGAATGGCCTCAGTCCTCAATACTTAAATAAAACATTTCACCCTCTAATACTGAACTCATCTCTTAGAATACTGTGAATACTTAATCAACTTCCAATAAAACCCAACTGAATAAATTTTCGGCACTTTATTTTAAGGCTGCACCTAGTAACTCTAGGTTGCCTACGTACCCTTACAAAGGGATCAAGCCATACGTAGTTCTTTCAGCCAAACTTATAAGTAATTCAAATCCATTTGCTGAAACTCAAACAATATATATATAAAATTAACATATTACTTAACAGTAGGGAAACGATAAGATTAATAAAATAGCATTTATTTGTAGAAAATCCTTAAAACTTGGAAATCTTTAATTCTTGTCTCATAAAATCAGAAATTAAGTATTAAAACTTGTACTCGAAAATACCAAAATGAAATCATCAGTTTTTGTTTAAACCTTTTAAAACCAAAATATTCTCCACCCAGGCGTACCCCATTCTTGATCCGTCAATTTCCCCAATCTTTCCGTCAATTGCAATAATATACCGTCAATTCCTTGTGGCACATAACGTGACACATCCTCGCAGGCCTCGGTAACACAAAGTCAACCCGAGCTGCATTCCTCGCAGAACTCGGGGGACATGTAGTCAGCCCGAGAACACACATCCTAGCTCCACGCGGTTCAGACGCCCCCGAGACTCGTGGGGCATTGACATAAAAATAAACTGTTTCAAAGGCAACTGAGGGGTACTCCCGTGGTGGGTTTGAAACCATTTTATGAAATTTATCATAAACTATCCCTTATTCCACAAATCCATTTTCCAACTCTTATATCAACTTTCAAAAAACCAGTTCTCAACTACATTTAAAATATATACCACATTCTGTTAAGAACTAGAGTCCATGATTCATCATTTTCAAGCCACTGAGTATATATATTAAATTTAAACATATAATAAGATATTTAATTAATTTCTCGTCCACTCCAAACCAATTTATAAGCCGTTCCTAGCTTTACACAATTAAGCATAATATAATATCCTTAGAAAGTAAAAACGATTACATTAAAACTCATAAGCAATAAATCATCCACTAACACTCAATCCGATACCTTAATAATAATCCCAACAATAATAATAAATATATAAGTAGATATATAAATAAATAACTAAACAAATAATTCCAAGAGATTCCATCACTCTAATAATGCACAAACTTCGAATATAAAAAATAACATCAGGAATACCAAAAATACTATAATACAATTATGAAAATCCAACCATAATCAAAATAATTTCCATAACAGGCAAACCTCGTTTATAAGATTGTTCTTTCACTTCTCGAATGATGAAACTACCTCGGGTGACTCTTGGTCAACCGAGTGGTCAAACTTTCTAAATTGGGTCAACCAAGCCCGAGGGGCCCACAACCTCTGATTTCCGATCCGAAAGTTTCTATGGGTTCAACGAGGTTTAATAAACATGTCCTTCCAATTTGGTCCGAATCGAACGGTCGGATCACTCGCGATCGTACGATCGGGCGGTTATCGTTAAACTAAACTTTGAATTATTAAATCAGAGTATCCGAGACTACGATTCTCGATCCACGAATTCCTTCACGATCCTAGAGGTGCCTAGATCAACATATTTGAAAATCAAGTTGATTCGACGGTCCTAACCTATTGAACCTGAATAACGCCTAATATGCGATATTCGATCGATAGCCAAACGGTAACCAGATCGATAGCCGGCAGCGTGTGGATGTCCAAAGCGATTCCGGCGATTGGAAAATCTCCAAACCGCCGGTCAAGACTTATACCTACATGATCAGCACATATAGTGGAGCAACTTTTGTTCTTGGACCTACCCCAAAAAGTCCCTGGAAGTGGCAGGAATCAAAGGCCGAAACCGGCCAAAACTTCCATCGCTTATTTACGTCTCAAAACGCAGAAATTTCTTCTAAATCCCACAACCAACAGCTAGAACACATTGAAAGGATGAGAAAGCATAACTGGGTCACACGATTTGGCTGTCGTAAGCGTTCAAACGAGCTTGAGAAAAATTCACCAAAAATCGGCAGGATTCTAGGCTTTACCGGCGACTACGATGGCAGGCTACGGCGGGTAACGGGTGGGGTTGGAAGAGGATGGTGGCCCGATCATTTTGGTACCGGCCCCGTCAAATTTGGTGGCCGGATGAGAGAACTGCTGGCCAAAATGTGGCCGACTGAGTGCTGCCGTCGTGAGGGGAGAGAGGTTTTGTGGGTAGAGAGAGAGAGAGAGAGAGAGAGAGAGAGAGAGAGAGAAAAGGAAAATCTGGTTTTCAAAAACTGACTTCGCAAAAATTACGGTTATGCCACTAGACTTCTCTTGATCGTAACTTCTTCGTTAGAACTCCGATTTGAGTCCACTACGTGTCTACGGACTCATCTCGACATTCTCTACCCAATGGTACAACTAAAATCCCCATATCATTTTCTGAACAAAAATTCAACTTTTAAACCTATTAAAATATTTATTTAGGACTGGGTTATTACACATAGCACCTTGATCTTTATGCTTTGTAGCGTTACGATTTACGTTGGGAGGAGTTAATCCAACAAGCCAAGTAATAGGAAGTCAAGGCCCTGCTCCAAGTCAAGACGTTGTGAGCAAAACCCATGTAGCAAATGAAGAAGCTGGTACTCAGCCATTGTGAAGAAGTTGCTCTAGTTTGATTTTTTGGTTTGAGTTAGGATTGACCTTTTTTTTTTCTTTTTGGTGGTGATTGGAAACATATTGTAGAAGGCATGGAAGAGACGGAGAGGATGAAGGAAAGCGTCTTTTTTTTCCTTGGGGCAAGCGTACAATGCGTGTCTGATGGGTTGGTTTTTTTCTTTTTACTAATATAATATTGGGTAGAGATTACGGTACAATTCTATCCAAATAGTATTCTAATACCATGAGGGGTATTCTAGTCTATGCAGAAGTATTGTTATATCAGGTTTTAGGTTTTTTTGGATTTTTTGAGTTATGTGAAACCAATTTGAAACATAAGGGGGTGTTTGTGTAATTTTTAGGACCTCAAGGAGTTTTGTGAAAACACGAAAAACCTCAGGGGGTGTTAGGATAAAAAAAATCCCTGAGTTTTCACCTATTCGTTTAAATTCTATTGTACTTTAACCATATACCACGATGATAAAATTTTTGAAATTTAATGGCCCACAGTTTAGAGGCTACAGTACGGCTCGTGACACGAGCGCATATGCACAAACTGATCTTGAATCGAACTTGAGGCTCAACTTCAATGACCCAAATTGTCTATTTGGTAGAATCTCATAAAACATCATCCTAGCCCAAAAATAATCAATCAAATTGCAAATTATCAAATTATTTAGTTATGGTCAAATAAATAAATGAACACAATTATGAAAAGTTGAAAAAAAAAAAACAATTGGATGATGATCAAGAACTAAGTCTGTGACGAGAGACTACAGCGGAGGCTCACAATCCATCTTCTACTGGTGGTTTAACATTAACAAAATGCAAAAGTCACTTTTGGGACTTGTAGTTTACCACTTTTATCACTAAGGTCCCTGTAGTTTCAATTTGATCAATTTTGTCCTTGTAGTTTGAATTCCGAGCAATTCAAGGACAAGACCCAATTTTTTTGTCAAATTACGCTAACATAGAAGGGCATTTCAGTCCAATCTCCACAACCATTCCCCAACCAGAGAGAGAGAGAGAGAATAGGTGGTTATGGGGGTGGTTGGTCATTGCTATAGGGTACAGAGTGGGTTGAGTTAGGAGGAAGAGTGACAGGACTCGCCCCAAATTCCTCAGAATCCATTACAGATCCTGTGGTTTTTCCGACATCCAACCGATGCAGCCGCATGCCTTCTCACCTTCGAAGCCAACACCACCGACCGCCATTTTCTTGAGCAGTAGCAATATGGACAATATGATGAGTTTCAATTGTTGGTAAATAGTAAGTCTTTATTATGCATCCACAAATTTCATATGATTGGATCTATTATTTCCTGAAGAAATATAAACATTACATAATTCCCTGAAGTGAATGTAAGCTCTATATCCTTTTCGGAAACAAATGTCACTTACACATTATCCCGGATGTGAAATATTTTTGAAGTTAAATAGTATAAAGGGAGGGTATTGTATGACAAAACCTCCAAGAATTATGATATTTATTGTTAGTGAAACAACACACACAACTATTTGATTTGAAAATTATTTTTGAGTTTAATTACCACTTATTTTGGTAAATATCATAGTAGGTTCTGCAAACCTGACCAAAAGCTATTGACATGTCAAATTATATACTTACAATGTTTGA